TGTGTGTGGTGTATCGCTTATTTGGTGTTCTCGGATTGCACACAGGCTTCCAGGTTCATTTATTGATAAGTGTGAAAAACGAATAAGATTACGAAATGGAAATATGTATTTTGCTGCCAATATTATTTGCAAGATATTGCTATTCAGTACATAACCTTTTTTAAGACTCGGCGAGTCTTTTGTCGTTCTGAGATATTTCTTGAACGTCGTTTTTCTTAACTTACAAATGGCAGTATCTCTGCACTTTACAAACATCATTTTTCAAAATTAACTTATTGCTTGAAGTTTCGGCAAAATCAGTTAAAACACTTTATTGTCGCTGGCCGGTCGATCAGTCGCTTTAGTAGATTGTCTGAGGCCATAAATACTAACTTTTAAATGCAAATTACTTTCGACGAATAATCGAGATACTCACTGGCAATGACGTTTAAGATATTTTTTTACCTGTAACGCAGAAGTTTATGTTTATTTCCCAAACTACTCTCGTTTATTACAAATATATTTGTATACAGCTTGATGATCTAATTCTTCATGCTTCTGACAAACTGTAAACGTCAGCAAAAACAGAAATGAGAGGAACTGTGCAGATGATCGCAGCATTTAACAATAACACGATCGTCAGGATAAGGTAAACCAATACAAGGATACATGTACACCAGTGAAACGATATGTTGTAAATTGAGTCTGACATTTTTTAACAGGAAACATTTACACTATAATACGATCGTATCTGAATATTATCTGACTTTGTTTATGCATTACACACAAGTGTTGCTTACAGACAGGGAAACGCCCTTCGTGAATGCAAAACCGTCAGCATTTATCATTTAGCCGGTGATGAGAACTGATTGTTGACAGAGATAAGCGTACTGCACACTAAGTTTAGAACGTGTGCCTGACAGGGAAGTTCATAGTACTTCACGTAGTCTATTTTTCTACGGAAGTCCGTTTTGCTGTTGACAAACATGATAAGTCGTTGAGGTAACTTATCCTGACTTTCATGTATGTAGATTACTGATCCTTTACTGGATGAGTACGTTTTTCCAAATTAAATTTTAATAATTAATATATATTCTGTCCAGAACTAAAATAATATTGTACACGAAATACCATGTAGTGCATATGACCGAAGATCTGTAAAATGTTAACTGAGGCAGAGTAATCGCGTAATATGTTTGTGCTTTAATGTATAGTTGCGCCAAATACCTTGAATGCAAAATCCTTTTAACTATACTAATATCACTTCTGTGATTTCCTAACGTGTTTACCGAAAACAAAAGACTTGATGTTGCTTATTGTAAATGTACTTTATCACCTGTATATTGCGATTATAGAAGATAGTGCAAATGATACAGATGTACAGTGGTACATGCAATATAAAATTACTCTAAGGTAACAAGTAAAGACTAATGATGGTAACTACGTATGTGTCTACACTACTCCCACTTTCGATGGCGCCTCTTGGTAGATTACACTCATAGGCTTCATTACAATACAAAGACAATAGACGTGCCTTCGTAAGATAATTTACAATACTGTGGGTTTGCCACCGTTCAAATCATGATGATAATGAATTTCGATCTAAACTCTGTCAAAAAAGAAACGCAACCCCTGTATTTTAGAGATTTTGATCTGAAGTTTTAGGACGACACGGCATTTTTATTATTTAAGACAGAAGTCTGAAATTTGGCAGAATAATAACCCAGATGGGCATGTTTAAAATTGTCATTTCAAAAGTCATCTCACAGACACCAGTTTGTCACCAGGGGGGCGTCTTTCTCAGTATCTCGTATGAGCACCACGCGCTGCAATCACTGCACGGCATCTCCTTGGACAAGAACGGATAAGACGCCGGATTCTTTCCTGGGGAATGGCTCTCCACTCCTCCTGCAGTGCAACGGCGAGCTGTTGCAGCGTCTGTGGCGGCGGCTGACGTTGACGTACGCGTCGATCCAGAGTATCCCACAGGTGTTCAATAGGGTTGAGGTCTGGTGATTTAGAGGGTCATGGCAAGACATTGACGTTGGAATTCTGCAGAAAGTTCATTGTTGCACGTGCAGTATGAGGCCGGGCGTTGTCCCGTTGAAAAATCTGTGTCTGTTGGTCAATAATCGGGAGAAGGTGAAGCTCTAACACGTGGTTGATGTAATGTTGGGCTGTCAGGTTCCCTGGAACGATCACCAAGTCTGATTTCTGGTTGTATGAGATGGTTCCCCAAACCATGACGCTTTCTCCGCCAAATCTGTCCACCTGTCGGACGCAGATGGGCGCAAAACGTTTATGACGTCTCCTTCCGTCGTGACGTTGCAAAAGAAAACGTGATTCATCAGAAAACCAGATTCGCCTCCAGTTTTGTAAAGTCCGTATCCTTACGTTGTTGCACCACCTGAGTCGTCGGCGTCGATGTAGGGGGCGTAGTACAGGTCCAACAACTGGTCTATAGGCACGTAAACCCGCTTCTTTCAGACGGTTCCTAATCGTTTGAGCTGACACTCTCCTCAAACCTGGTATTTGTGTGGCAGTCACGGTTGGTAGGGCATGCCGATTACGCAGGTGATGGACCCGGATGTACCGATCTTGAAGGGGGGTCGTGATTCTTGGCCTTCCACTTCTCGGGCGATCGTTGGTCAAATTGAAGTTGTTGTAGCGGCTCCAAAGTTGGGATATCGTTGTTTTGTGAACATTTAGGTGCCGTGCAACAGTTCCAAAACTTTCTCCGGCTTGAACACGACCAATGGCGATATTTCGGTCGGCAGCACTCAATCGTGGCATTTTTAACACAGCTTTTCGGCGACAAATGAATGAATATAATACGGAAGCACATGGGCTTTTATACACCCCTACGTTAACTGCCATTTTCATGATTTGCATGTGTTTTTTTTGTGCGAAGTCACCATGAGGGTCATTTCATGCGTTGTGACGGAATAAGCAATAAAATACACTTATGCGTACAAATGCAGTTGTTTGGATGGTAATCTTCATTAATTACGTGTATCATTTCAATACATTCGAATAAAATTTAGTTTGGAAGCAATAACTTCATTCAAACGAATTTTTCATATCTGAGGACAGGGGTTGCGTTTCTTTTTTGACAGAGTTTATTTCGAGTGTAATATTAGGCAAATGCATATGTTGATATAATAGTCAGATAGCGTTGAGTTAGTTTTCCTGGAGGAAGTATAGTAAGTACTAAGAGCGCTTTTGTATGTTGTGGTAGCGCAGCAACGTGTGTTGTTCTGAAATATTTATATATGTATTGAATTCTGCTGGGTTTAACGTGGGTAAGGAAAGTTTGGAACGTTTGCCTGACAGGTAAGTTCACAGTATTTCACGTAGTCTACTTTACGTAGAGGAGGTCCCTTTTGCTGTGGACAAACGTGATAAGTCGCTCAGGTAACTGATCTTGACTTTCATACATGTAGATCACTGATCCTTTATCGGGTAAGTAAGATCTTTATTATATATACAGTCCAGAAGTCTGTCCAGAATAATGTACATTACATTGATTTGTATAATTATGTAATACTGTCCTGAGATTTGAGTTGGGGAGGGGGTGGTGGGTCAAGACAAAGTTTACATGCAACATTGAAGGTAAATGGTATATGCTGAAGAGATGGTCACATGCAGCAAAATATAAGTGACAACGCCAGAGAATAATCAGTTTCGATTATATGAATAGACTCCGCAAGGAAAAATGGTGTTTGAGCCTTATCTAATATGAATTGATTACTTAGGATTAGGTGGTCAGGTTGGTTGACACATCGTATCCCGGTTGCGTAAATCGATGCTCATCCTGTTTATCACTGGATTGTCTGGTCCAGACTCGACTATTTACAGACCATAGAGCTGAGCTTTGTCTGGGTGTGGCGTTAAACACCAGCCACCAACCAACTTAAATTTAACTTATATGATGAATGACCCTCTGTAAACTACGTAAATCAAGCCGCTGAAATCAACTAATGTCCCTCGTGTCTCCTGTTTGGGACTACTGATACATGCATCTACAGTGTACCAGATATCCAAACTAAGCATATACAGAAAAGAAATGAAGCGGAAGGTTATAACCTTCAGAAGATAACTTTAACAATGCTCTAAATCTTATTCATAGGTATTAAAGTATTGTAAATTTAACCAAAGCAGACTGAAAGGGTCTTCAAACAATTTATTCAATTTGCAATTGATATATCGTGTATGATATAGTTAAGCGCAAGGACTTTCGTGTTATTGTGACTCTTGAAGGGACCGGGCTTTATAGCTTGTTCAAAGGGTGCGATTATTGTCATGATTGCCTATAATTTACTTCTAATACATGATCGTCATAGTTAATCATAAGATAAGTCAGAAGATTCTTGGTATCGCTGTTGGAACGTGTAACTTCCGCGAATTCTTAATTTGGAGCATCCCTGAAATAGATCACATATGTTACAGTAGTTTTAGTAACGAAGGTTTTCTTCTGAAGATGTTTTGTATGTTTGTGTGTTGGTTAACGCCGCACTCAGCATCTTTCCAGCTGTATAACGGTGGTTAGTGATTTATCGACTTGGCCAGGCAATCCAGTGATGGCATCATGGACACAAGTAGGATATGATGACATGCATCAACCAAGTCTGCGAGCCTGACCACCCGATCCCATTAGTCCAATTCTATCCCGGACCTTAAGGGGTCACATGTACATTGTATGTGCTTTAGACTCTTGATCGATTTTTGTAATCGTTTCTAATCCTAAGTGTATAGTTCCTTCCTTCTATAGAACGTGTGAAAAACGGGAAAATATAATACTTAAAATATCTTTATATCGTGGGCTGTTGATTCTCCATGGATATTACTTGTGCTTCACAGAAGTTTGGGAAACTTAAAGTTGGTCGTACTTTGAATATCTCTGAAAAGAGATTATAATCAAAGGACAGATTTTACTTCTTAGTTTGGTAAATATCACATTTCAGGGATATATATGTGGCACTTCAGAGAATCATAAATGACTAATTTTATCATTTCAGGTTTTCGACCATACACTATGGCCAGCATGTTGCCGGTCGTCTCCACGGGAACAACACTTTTTGGTGTACACATCACAACAGCGGAAGTGACGTCATCATTAAACATCAGCGATGAGGAGAAGAGACGTTATCTGTCCCACCTTGACGACACGACGTTTCGCTTGATGATACCTGCCGTGGTATATCTGGCCATACTGATGGTTCTGGGTATTTTCGGAAACATCCTGGTGTTGATTGTGTACCTCAAGAAATTCAAACCAAGCCCGACCCGTGTGTTTGTAGTGTGTCTGTCTGTGTTTGACCTCATGACCTGCTTCATTTCACTCCCAGGAGAGATCCTGGACATGAGGTACATCCATACGTTCGACTACCCAAACGTATGCAAGATGCTGAGATTCAACAATTCGTTCTCCGTGGTGTCCTCGGGATTCACGCTCATAGCCGTTGCGATAGACAGATACAGGAAGATATGTCGACCATTAAACACACAGATTACCATCAAAGTCGCCCGCATCATGGTTGGAATCGCTGTGTCTGTATCACTTGTCGTCACCATCCCGGCAGTCATAGTCTATGGTAGAAAAACGGTCAAAACAGATAATGAGGAAATAAACGGCTTCGAGTGTTCCATTGACGACAGATGGCGCGATACTCTGTTTCCGTTGGTCTATATCGGAGTTTTATTCCTCATCTTCTTTGGTTCTCTGGGTATCCTGGTGTTTGTGTACGCCTTCATTGGCAGGACTGTTTTTAACCACCGGAGATTCAAATTCCGCCCATCAAGGGATACCGAACATCACACTTCGAATTACACCACTGAGACGTCATTTGAAGATGGTACAGTTAAGAACGGGAAGAAGTACTCTGGTAATGAGAAGAAGTCAGATAAAGGGAAGGGCATCAGATCTGCACGGCAGTCATTCTGTAAAGTATCGCCATCCACAGTCTTTGGAGATGTTTCCAATTCAAATCATGGCTTCGATGATTCGTCCGAGACAAGTTGTTCAGATGTGAATGACACTTCAGCGAAACCCAAAACACGTAGTGCAGACAAATGCCCGAACAGAGTGACATCTACACGAAAAAAGGCTTCAAAACCACAATCAGGACCTAGAGGGATGAAAACAACATTTATGTTGTTCATCATCACAGCTGTATTCATCATCAGCTTCTTACCTCATCTGATCCTGATGATAACTCGATTTGTTAAATCCGACTTTGAGAACTCTTTACAAGGAGCCGGGATCATGATGTATAATATATTCCTACGCTCCTACTATATAAACAGTGCAGTTAACTGCATTGTCTACAGTTTCTGCAACGAAAGATTCAGAAATGAAGCGAAGAATTTAGCGGTCTCTTGTTTTCGTTGAGACAAACATGTGGGATGCAAGATGAAACTGGGGGTTTGCTAGGTGAAACAGGTATACCATTGGCTGAACTACTGTGCGGATCCTTCCAGACGTTATTGGGGATGAAACCGGGATGCATAAATAGTGACAAAGGTTTGCTTAGGACGGGTAGATGAGGAACTGTACAGCCACAAACAAAGGAACATGTGACTAATTGTGACGTTATCGGCTATAACATATCGAATGGAAACTATGCATCACAGTTACACGCTGGCTTCATTGGACACTGCAGCCAACCTTTTCTTCAGAGGCTGATATTAACACATGCTGCAGTTGATTCGAAACGATGACTTAACTTCACTGATGGCTGTTTTCTTTCACACATGTGGATGACAAATCTAAGTGAGATATCTGGTATCAAACTCGTGAGATCGCATCCCAGGTCCGTGATAGGCTACTCCATGGTGATGACCAAAGGTCAGATTATCATGGACTGCTTTTCATGACACATGCACGTTTGTCGTGCTTTTGCTTTTACGCCCAGTCGAGACGTTATGTTTTTGTTAATAATGTTCTTAAGTCTTATCTAGTTTTCATTTTCGCCTTGATAAATACTATGTGTAAAGGGAGCGTCAACGTGAAGGGTCACATAACGTATGAGTATTACGTAGTCAGATGACGTCACAAATGATCTTTGTGTTATGTATTAATGCGCTACTGTGATAATGAAAAGTGACTAAAAGGTGTCGTTGCAAGTTTAAAACTGTGTTTTTCTGTATAAGAAAAAGATTCTGCACCCTTCAGATTTCATTTATCTTTCAACTCGTTTCGAACGTATCTAACTCGCTTTCGTCCGTTAGACTGTTGAAACTCCTCGTTGTAAGACATATGGTATTTGATCGTTACTCATGTAGCAATCTCTGAATCATGTCAGAAGTGACAATGTCATAAAGATTTCCTTCACCTATAACTATAGATAACATGCGAAGATTTCAGGAGACCTATCTTGTCATTTTCACATTAGAGCAGATATCTTATGTTGGACTTCATAAAAACTCACTCTCCTGTTGTCACATATGACCATTAGAATAAAACATTTTCTTTTACATACATTTGTATATTTAGATATTGTTTTTGCTTTCATTACTCCTTTTTTTCTTCACTGTATCTTTCATTTAATAGGAGATCGATGCTTATGTTTTAAGTCAGTAAGTGATAATTGCTCACTGAAACGCATGTTTGGAAGTCCATGCGTAAAAACATCAGTAAGACTCAAGTTAAGGGCTTAATAATGTGCCTAGCCTGTGTCCTGTGCGAGTCGACTTGAAGCCCTAGTTCAATGTGAAGATTCATGTATGCTTATGCAGCGTAGGGCGTGACCTAGGCAACACACCCGTCATTCACGATAGGCTTAGGAGTCTATACTGGAGCTACATGTACAGGTGTGACTGACAAAGTACATAGCCATGTGGGCCAGGTAAATTCAGATATGGTGACTAAATACACAAAGAATGCTCCACTTACATGTGAGGACGCTTCTTTTCACAAATGAAATATGCACTACATTGAAGACTTCCTGGTTGATACAAAATATTTCACTCAACACTGGCGACTAGCAATAAAAGCATTGTCAGCTAAGGATAAAGCTGCAAAGGGAAAGCTGTCAGTGAGCACAGGTAAGTACGATTCTAGGACACGGCATCTTGCATCCATTATATCTGAGACAAATTAAACTTAATAATCTGTCTATTTATTAGGTATTTGGTCGTATCACTATATGAATTCTTTATTGTATAACACAATTTCAAAAAGATGATTGTCGTTTCTGGCAACACTATCCACTGTCTAAGCATGACCATGTATGCAGTGAAGCAATGTAAGTTTTACAGGTTTACCACCCTACACGATCATAGATTACGGAGAGGCGCCGTTCTCAGTACAGAATTGCCTCCCTCAATCAATGGATGATACCCTTGATGATACCCTTGATTGAAGATGGCAATTTTGTTCGGAGAACAACACCCCTCCATTACGCTATACAACGAAGTGTTTAAGAAATATACCATTATTTAAAGGTTTTCGTGAAAGCTTTCATTGTTTTCATGCAGTATATGTTCATTTTTATAGTCGCCGTTCATATTCAGGATACCACAACGATGGCACAAGACGAAACAGCCCCATGTACCTACATCAGTATGACGACATGTACGCTCTCAGATATCGCCCGGCCATAGTGTTTGTAGCTGTGTGTATGTTGGTTTGTGTGGTTGGTAACTCGCTGGTCTGCTACGTGTATCTTGTTCAAACCAAGCACGACAAGGTGTTTCATTGTAACACTAGCACTCCTGGACATTCTGAACTGTTCTCTGAGCATGCCTCTTAAGATCGTACAAATGAGATATCATGCCACGTTCGGATTGTCCAACTTCTGTAGGCTGTCCACAATGACTGTCACGCTCTTCTCGTTGGCATCCGCAGGAATTCTTTTACCAGTCGCGGTTGACAGATATTTAAAGATATGCAAACCATTCGTCAGACAGATGACAATCTTCCATACAAAGGCAGGTTGTGGGGCGGCGTGTGCAGCGACGTTGGTTCTAACAATACCTCCTGCCATCGACCGCCTCCATAGTGTAGTGGCTAGAGCGTCCGCCCGGAGTGCGGAAGGTCGCGGGTTCGATCCCCGACCGCGTCATACCAAAAGACGTTAAAATGTGGTACTTGTTGGTCCCTGCCTGGCACTCGGCATTAATGGGAACAACAAGGACTGGTTGGCTCGGAGTCGGTATAATGTGTCTGAGTGGGGTATTCATGCTTCACTGCGGCATGGTATCTCAGTGGGCTAGCACTATAAAAGCAGCTTAAGTCTGGGCTAGTACAAGCAGCCGCACATACACATACACGTGCATGCACGTCGTCATATGAGCGAAATATTCTCAAGCACGACGTTAAACTCAATTCCACCACCACCACTTCCTGCCATCATCCATGGCCCAACCCTTCACTCGCTGCCTCAATCAAACGCCACCTTTTGTTACCTTGCAGACGGAGAAGGGGGAACTCGTCCCCATCTGATAGACTCTTGTGTTCAGATATGTTTGTTTGTAGTGACTGCATGGGCTCTTGTTGTCATGTACACATGTATATGGCATAAGCTGTACAAGCAGAAGAAAGCCTTTCGTCAAAGGACAATCGCAGGTATTTTGAACACTCCAAAGCATAACAATACAACCAGATCGACTGATGGAACGGTTTCTACTTCATCAAACTTTATCTGCACGACTATGAATGCAACTTAACCGGAATATTTTAGCGAAATACTTAATTTAAAAGTTGTTGAAGTAGATGAAAAATATGCAACATTTAAACCCCCCCAAAATGGTCATTTCTTTAACATCCTCGAAATAAGGAAAAACATGTTCGATATTTTATTATTTGATCTTGGTAAAACCCCTAGATTCAGCTTCCTTGGTTCCAAAGTATTATAGTAAAGACTATATTCCTTGTTTGTAGGAAGACATAAGGCTTTTACTGACCACATAAACCTCTTTTAAAGACCGCAGTCAGATACATTCCAGCTATATAGAATAGTCGAGTCCGGACTAGACAATCCATTGATTTATATTACGAATAGCGATCCACGGCCAGGACAGGTTCCTGATGCAAGGGACCGCCTCTGTGGTGTAGTGGTTAGAGCGTCCGTCCGGAGAGCGGAAGGTCGCGGGTTCGATCCCCGACCGCGTCATACCAAAAAAGACGTTAAAATATGGTACTTGTTGGTCCCTGCCTGGCGCTCGGCATTAATGGGTACAACAAGGACTGGTCAGCTCGGAGTCAGTATAATGTGTCTGAGTGGGGTATTCATGCTTCACTGCGGCATGGTATCTCAGTGGGCTAGCACTATAAAACCAGCTTAAGTCTGGGCTAGTACAAGCAGCCACACATACACATACACACGCATGCACGTCGCCATATGAGTGAAATGTTCTCAAGCACGACGTTAAATCCCATATCACCTCACCGCACCTCCTGATGCAAGGGAGATAACCGATTTCCAAAGACAGTTTCAACCTTTGTTCGCACCATGGAGTTATAGTTTGACTGTAGCCAAACGTCTATGCGCAGTCCAAAAAAGGTCGCGTTACGAATTCGATGTCTGATTCTTAACCAACATAGTGACTGTAGATTTCAGTCGGTTGCAGGATTTCTCCACTGTACCATCAACTGGTCGTCCACTAATATTTTCCAAAAGCTTTAATGCCTTATTAAAGTGCTCACATGATCTGATGCACTTCGCTTGGTGTGACCTGTTTCATTATGCTAGAGGTCGCCCCTAAATGAAATAAATGCATGTGATATTATGATAGATGGAATCTGACAGGTCAGTCGGAAGAACACAGTGGGCGCTACGATCGAAATTCGAAGCTATTTAAGCAAGGGCGGAGACGGGACATTTACTTACTATTAATTCCTTTGTCTCAAGAAGCCTGACTTCCCGATCAAGATAAGGTCGCCTCAGGCATACAAATGTAGGTTTCTTGGTTCCGTAGCTTAAGGCGATTCCAACGCCCATATACTAAGCAAGGCTTTACGATAGCCGCTGCGTGTTGAACGGAGCCCTAGGGACCTATTGTTATACAAATATCAGTCCGGATTTCAAGTAGGCCATTCTACGACTCATCAGTTATATTTGCTCAGCTCTAGATAGACGTGAAGACTATCGCATGGTGTTTTGTGATGTTTCAAAGGCCTTTGACAGAGTGTGGCACCGAGGATTACGGCATAAATTAATAAGCTACGGTATAGGTGAAGAATTACTTAAATAGAACTTCATAACAATATTTGCTCAGCTCTAGATAGACGTGAAGACTATTGCATGGTGTTTTGTGATGTTTCAAAGGCCTTTGACAGAGTGTGGCACCGAGGATTACGGCATAAATTAATAAGCTACGGTATAGGTGAAGAATTACTTAAATGGATACACTGTTACATCAGTGGCAGGACTCAAAAGGTGTTTTTAAATGGTTCATTATCAAATCCCAAATCTCTTGCAGCCGGGGTACCCCAGGGATCAGTCCTGGGCCCCTTTCTGTTTATAGTATATGTTAATGATATTGCCGATGAACTAGATTGTGCTGCACGCTTGTTCGCGGATGATACATCAATGGGATTTTCATCTATCAATCACAGGCTTATGCAAGAGACACTCAATAAGAACCTACAATATTTATCGTGCTGGGCAAAACGTTGGCTTGTGATATACAATCCCAACAAAACAGAAGCTATACTTTTCAGTCTTAAGAATAATAATACAATTCTAAATTTAGAATTTGAAACTCAGTGTGTACGTTTGGAAAAATCTCATAAACATCTTGGAGTAACATTTTCTTCTGATTGTAAATGGAACACACATATTGATAACATTGTAAAAACAACGTCCTTGATGGTTTCATCAATGAGAAAATTAAAGTTTATGTTAAACAGAGACACTCTTAATAAGATTTATATTGTATTCATAAGACCACATCTTGAATATGCTTGTGAATTGTGGGATGGTTGTTCGGTAGATTTAACCGATAAAATTGAAAAAGTTCAGTTTGAGGCCGCCAGGATAGTTACTGGTTTACCAAAATATGCCACTAGAGATACTCTGATATATGAAACAGGTTGGCAAATGTTAAAAGAAAGAAGAAGATGTCGTAAACTGTCTTTATTCTATAATAAATGCTCCATCCTACCTTTGTGATCTTATGCCTCAAACTGTTGAATCTAGGACAAATTATAATCTTAGAAACATTCGTGATCTTTCCCTGTACTATTCCCGCACAAATCTCTACAGTCAATCATTTTTCCCATCATCTGCACAACTTTGGAATAATCTCCCTTTATATGTTAGAGAATCAGTTTCCCTTAAAAGTTTTAAATCGCATATAAGCTCGCGTAAGTCAAAAGCACCAGGATATTTCTCATTTGGTAATAGAAAACTCAATGTAATTCATACCCAGCTAAGATATTCAAATAGTAGATTAAATGGTGATCTATATAGGATCGGTCTCATAGAGAACCCCGAATGTAATTGTAAATTTACCTGTGAAAATTCTCAACATTATTTTATGGAATGTTCTTTGTATTCTGTTATCAGACAGGAAATGTTTCAAAATATTAGCAGAATTTGTAACATTAAAGCACCAACAAACCTAGACGTACTATTAAATGGCAGTGCAGATCTTCCGTATAGTGACAATATTCACATTTTTAAAGAAGTTCAAAAATATATATCAAATTCCAAAAGGTTCAGTGATCAGATATAATGTGTATGATCTAAATAATTCATGTATTCATTGTATTGTATATATCATTTTGTATATATCTTTCTATCCCTGTACATATAGTTTGTTTCACTTTTGCATGTAAGCACTGTAAATAGGAGAGGGTTTCACTAAGTTGGCATAACTTGTACCCAATCCATTCTCTTGAATAAATATGTTTAAATCAAAGTTGGCCTCGTGGTTAAGCATTAGCTCAAAGACCCGGGTTCGAATCGGGTACAATGTGTGAAGCCCAATACTGCTAAAAACGCTCATTAACAGTGACATCGAGGAGTGGTTGTGGCATGTTTTCATCAATATGGAGGCCATCACGGGCTGGGGGTACCAGAAATGGGCATCCGACAATGTAGCGATGTAACAATCAATTCTGGGTCTCAGAATGGAGGCTCCGTTTTACTTACCAGTCGCCCAATCTTATAACGGTGATCACCACACTGTACTGAATATTGGAGCATTGAGTGTTGAACAATATTATACAGGGTTGGGCGATGGGGTAGCATAGTGGTTAAAGTGTTCGCTCGTCACGCCGAAAAACCGGGTTCGATTCCCTCCATTGGTACAATGTGTGAAGCCCATTTCTGGTGTCCCCCGCCGTGATATTGATTGATTATTGCTAAAAGCGGCGTAAAACTAAACTCACTCACTCACTCATGTGCTGGTGGAATCTAGTCTGCTTTAAGCAGAGACTCCTTTTGGCAAGGACTTTGTCGTTTATAGGTCCTACAAGGTTGATGTAGCATATGTGATATTTGGGATTACACTTTCTCAGAGTCAGGCACCAAATTGCCTAAGCTTGTTGTGTAAGGGACAACACAACCAATGTGTGAAAGCCGCGAGCATGAATATGTTGCTGACAAGCAGAATTTGGGATTTCAAACCATGATAACTCGTATTATTACCCTTTAGATTAAGTGGAAGACCTCTGATGGATTGTAGTCAATGTAGCATATGGAACCGTTTCACAGGTGGTATGCATCCATCCTAACTTTCCAGCTTCCAACATCTTCCTACTTTTTAAGCCTACAAGAGTTATGCCCCTTCGAATATCGATCGGTAGCATTCGTCTGCCACCACAGGGGCTTGTAAGGCTTAAGGCCAAGGTCGTCAATGGCGAACGGGCACGACACAATTCTCTTTGCGATGAATAATGTACGTAAACTCATAATGACAGTGAGGTGTAAATGTCTCCGAAAGAATGGCGGCTAGCGCGCTGACAGGTGCCATCAGTTCAACATGTTTTGGTGCATGTCGTTTGTGTATACTGTGAAATAAACAAGAAAATGAGTGAGTTACCGCTCCAAATTCTGAGCAGGGATTTTGGCTCGGAATCGAGAAATCACGATTTATGCTGTATGTCTTTTTTGGTAGGTAAAGCTATGAGCTTGAAATGTGTGCATACTTTAAATGGGATAAGTACAGTGAGCATTGTTGAAATCGCCCTGAACCGAACTTGGTGTGTTAACCTCGTTACATCCCGTTCCTTTTCTATAGTGCTAAGACCCCGTTAGTGACAGCATATACCTTAAGGCAGTAAGTGCGTCCCATACCGCGGCAGAAATAGAACAGAAACCTTTCATGCATAACTGTGTTATGGCGTTTGCTCCAATTTGGCACCTAAAAGATCTCAAGGGTATTAAATTCGTTTGACGGCGATTTGCCGGGTAGTATGGGATAACATACCAAATGGTCGTGTTACTGACCCAGCGCACGTAAGGAAAATAAGGAAGTACAAACTTAAAAATAGAACACAGTGCTTCACAATCGCAACACTTGAAACTATGTTTTTCTCTGTACGTGAGGATCTCTACTTTAATAATGACAGTATCAGCGTATTATCTATTTAATCAAAGAGAGTAATATTTCCTGTTTTCTTCTTATTTATCAATTAGAAAATGATATTTTATCAAGTTATGTTGACCAAATGACGACCAAACGCAGAGCTGGAAACCGTCTCTTATCCCAGTAACGTTGAAACAATATACGTGGAACAGAGAAGAAACGATTGCTTAACATGAAGCGATATTCTCACTTACCACCAAACATTTAATTGTACAAATGGATGCCTGTTATACAGCCTCTTTTCGTTTACAATTCACATGTCAGCAGTCGCCTAAAAAAGCAAGTGATTATATATCCGCTTCCATCCATCTATCTATCTATCTATCTATTTGTCTATCTATCTATCTATCTATCTATCTATGTGTGTATCTATACACGACTGTATGTATATGAAGTATATATGAATAGAATATCACCTAGGCAGTGTGATATACTGTCTACAGCAGTTTTACATGTTGTTTTCTCCGACAATTGACACAGCATTTGAAGCACATTATACATCTGCACATTCAATATTTACAAGTATGTCATGGCAAAATTACATTTGTACAAGACATGTTGAAAGTCCATGTTTTCGATTTCACTGATGTTTCTCCGGGTTGCATCTCTTCTCTCTGACTCGTCAACATGGATGTGTCTTTTAATGTCATAATCTTACATCGATCGTCTCTGATGATAATTCAAGATATTCCACTTAGTCACCTTTACTTTCAAAATTGTTCTGGATCAGTCACAAGCATTAATGTCGTCTAATATCAATGGGTCCCTTGCAATGGGTCATCATCACAGCGCTTATCAACTGGACCTGGGTTAGATTCCACACCCGCACTAAACTATAACATCAAAATCAAGTTCAGGTTGGTGGCTGTACCCATGTTCATCATTACACATTTCCGTGGTGCTGGAGGTGCCACTGCCCTGTTACACATTCTGTTCCAGATCCACCACTGAACACTGCGGAAAACGTCCCATCTTCATACGAAACTGTTCCACACATATTTCCACTGTACTACTATATGCATATACATTCATATCGTTGGAGACTATCCAGATATATGTACTACACACGGAGCTGTTTGACCACCCAGCTTAATCCGCCATATTGCCATCAATGCTGCAACATTTGTGATAAACTTTGATGTTTTTTATAAGAAACATTTGCACATGAAGGCGCTCAACAAGGTATATGCGTACATTTTAACCCATGTTTTACATTTTATTTCGTACACATGTGTCATTGTGTGTGTCCCCATGTAAGCATAATTATATGACTTGATGATATAAAAAGAACAAAATATCTAATGGAGAAAAATAGGAATCACAAACCATGATTTGAGACCACAGACAATGTTAGAACATCAGTGCTGATCTCCTTTTTATCAATATGACAACAGGTACGTGCAATCGTCTCAATAAAAAAAGGGCTGATTTTGATTTTAATTTTGAGTTATTTTTTTAAACGCAAGTTTCATTTCATACCGGAAGGCAGTGTTGCCGAAACCGTAGATTAGAGGGTTCAAAGCACATTGAATGTAATACGATTGCCAAACAATGTAATACAACCATGTAGCCGATTCTCTAAATGCCGTCATTGCGCTTGGAGCGAATACATTCATGAACATCAAGCAGACAATGGGGAGGTAGGCGACAAGAGAGGCCAGACTCACATAGAACATTGTTAAGGTCACTTTTGTAAGGGTTCCTCGACGATCATGGGTATTCTTTTTAGGGGACTGGTTCATGGTTGTTCTGGGACGATTGATAGAACTTGAGACAGAGCTTGTCGTCGTCATATTGTCATCTTCATCTATCCGCGTGTCAGAAATGGAAGCATGTTCACCTGACCCATGAGGTACATTAATTTGACTTTCGGGAAGAGTTTTCTTTCTCATCCGATCAGCATGGTCATATAGCCTTCGCCATATGAGGCAATACATCACAAAGAGGGTTAGAAACATACCTATATCCAGTGAAATCCAAAACACAAGATTGACTTGCTTAATTATGTAAATATGATACACATGAAGATCAGCGAGATTACATTGAGTAGCGTTGATAATGGTATCGTTGGTACCATTGATTGGGAATGAATGTGCTCCATAAATAATGGTAGCGGGGGTTGATAAAAGCAGAGCTAGCAAACAACTAACAACTATAACGACTCGGGCCTTTGGTACAGTCATGCGATTTTCAAAGGGCTGGCATATCTTCTTGTATCTTTCCACGGCAATGGCTAGAAGCATGAACATTGATGTAATGGAACTGAAATCGTGGAACATATGAAACGCTTTGCACAATACAGGAAACTCTCCAGAGTTGTACATGTACCTCATGCCGACAATGGCCAGTGGAATATCAATAACACAAATGAACAAATCAAACAACGACGTAATCAAAATAAAACATATCAGAGGACTTGGCTTGAACCGTGTAAGGTACACAAAACAAACGGTACAGTTTCCAATGAAACCTGTAAGCATTATCAAGGATAGAAATACAATTACAGGTAGCGCACTGTTCATCTGTATGTCATTGTAGAGGTAGAGGAGATCTTTATCTTTATCAGCCATGTTGTTGAGGGAGAGGTGCCTTTGTATAGACCTGTAAGAGACAAAAATACACGTTCACAAAAGTATCGCAGCACCCCATAGTTTTAAAAGTGTCAGTCACAAGTAAGCTAATAATAATTGACTCAGTATCAGCTGTCATTAGTTTCATTGCTTAGACTCGTATGTTGTGTTGTCATTCGCTGGTAGTATTTGTCAATGTTAAACCCTATAGTAATTCAATATATCTGTCAATATTTCAGAATAATACACGTCTATAATGCCCGTCTATAGTACTTACTACTTCCTCCTGGACACATACCTAAATGCTGTCTGACTATTAAATCAGCATATGTATCCACCTAACATTACATTCGAAATATACACATGGTAAAAAGTATCGCAACATCCCATATTTTTCACAGTAACAATATGTTACCATTCACCATAGCAACGAACCTTATCCAGACATCCACATAACGTATCTGATCCTCAAGGAACGAGATTCTAAAGAATAAAAAACCCATAAGCAAACATGGTTAAAAACTGACTCATTTTGTGGTGTTTATAACTATGGCAGTATGTTGTTAGCAAATACGACCGTTTTGAAGACTCTGGCACACAGTCCTCAAGAAACCACACCAGTATCAATAACCGATCACAATGCAAATATCAGGCGTAACATCCGCCAACTGCAAATAACATCCCCGACCCTCCTTCTCACTTCAGGTATTGCGTTCATCGTTGAGCCATTTGCTTTCCATTTGTGATGGAGAGCTTGTTACAGTACATCAATATTTTGTACTGGATTATATTTCTGGCGTATTCTGCGACTCATAATGTCCCAAACAAGGCGGAGTTGCCTCTCGACGTAAGAAATCGCCATCAACACGTGCAGGGTGTGGCCTAGCATTGTAGTCCATGTAGACCGGCATTGTGTTCAGGGTATGGCCATTGTGGAACAACAACCCTGTCTAGGAAGTCATTCATGTACCGTTCTCCATTCAGATTTTGTCTGATTGTCGCAAGGACATGTTTTACAGCCATGTGAGAGTCACCCTCCCATCAACAATAAATCCCCGTACTTTCTCCAAGATATTCCTCTGGATATATGTAGTACTTTCGAATTTCGTCCAATCAGTGGACCCTAATCGATGACCTCAAATTCTAGTGAGGTCGAATTTGAAAGTAGTCATGCTGTTTTGTGCTGTAAGTAAACAACGGACGTCTGATAGTCCGTCTGTTTCTACACGAGGCAGAATTTAGGGGTTTGGGGACCATTCTATTGGACAAACGACGATGTGGGAGCCACTCTTGTTTTAAAACCCCACATGACCTGAACGGATGAAGTCTTCTGAGAAGGTCTGTATCCTCCCTAGGCGTTGTCACTCGTGTCTGATTTTGGACACTGCTGACGGCGTTCAAGCAGCCATTGTTTACTTTATGTCGAGTAATCTTACAGTAGCTCCAGCATTTGGTGCCTTTAACAAAGTTGGAGGTACTCTTGTTTAATCAAGGCTACAAGGCCTTAACAAACGTTCAGCGTTCATCATTTCTTTATAGTGAGCGAACGCTTTAACCACCGGGCCAACCTACCGTCCCAGTCCTTTATAGATAGCATATTGAAGAAACACAAAACATAAAAACAATCATATATACACGGCACACATTTAAGTTGTTTGTTGGTAGGGTGATTGAAAGACCTTCAATACAGTGACATCCGTATGCATTTCTTTTATTCATATCATCAACAAAAATAGGATTTGATAAAGTCCGTCTGTTTCCTTGCAAGGAGGAAATAGCACATAACACTACATTAACACCTAGAACCATTGTTCAATGTTTCATTCTTCCTGCTACATTGTCCCACATAGTAAACAAACAATCTTGTTTTCTCCAAAAACATGATAAACATTCATATCAGTAGGCATTTGAGTTATAATACCAGTACACACATTATGAAGCAATATGGGTGATAAGATATGAATAGCTTCAGCCAATTGTAGAGGCCTGGCAGAAAAGACAAAACGTAAAGAAGTATTGAACCTTTGTCGTAAAAGAAGTTTTCAATTATATGTCTGCAAGATATTCATATTTCCAAGGAAGATGAAACTACATGAGAAATGAATAGGGTCTTCAAAGCATTATAGCGCCATATAAATCAAATGCAAGAGGGGTCGCTATTTTATTTAACAATAATTTGGAAGTAAGTATCCACAAATACATGACTGACAACAGTGGAAACTATATAATAGCAGATGTAACTATAGAAGGAATAAGAATCACATTGACTAATATATATGATCCTAATCAAGATCAACCTGATTTTTATAATGCATTATTTCATAAAATTGATGAATTTGAAAATGAATCTCTCATAATATGCGGAGACTGGAACTTAGTTCTTAATTCTTCCATAGACTTAGAAAGTTATAAAAATATCAATAATCCAAACGCAAGAAAAGTAGTGTTAGATAATATAGAAAAGTATGATTTGACAGACATTTGGAGGGAGAGAAATTATGATGTAAAGAAATACACATGGTGGAAAAGAAACCCTAAACAACAGTCCAGACTTGATTTCTTTTTAGTTTCTCAAGATTTAGCAAACATGACAACTGACTGTTCAATACTTCCAAGATACAAATCTGATCATTCAGCAATTACCATGTCTTTTTCTAATCAACTTAATAAGGAATGGGGTGGAGGATACTGGAAACTAAATACATCATTACTTTATAACCAAGAATATGTAAACACAGTCAAGGATATGCTTTTTGAAACAAAATTAGAATACTGTAACTGCACTGAGGAAGAACTAGGTGATATTGAAGATTCTAAACTACAACTTAATATAAGCGACACTTTGTTCTTAGAAACGTTTTTAATGAAAGTAAGGGGGAAAACAATATCATTCTCTTCCTACTTAAAACAAATCAAAACTGAAAAAAGCAAAAATTTAGAAGGAAAAATTTTGGCAATGGAAGAAGAAATCAGAGAAAATTTCCAAACCATATGTGAAACTAAACTTTCTGAACTATCCAAATGTAAATTAGAGTTTGAAAAATTAAAAGAAGATGAAATAAGAGGTATACAGATAAGAAATAGAATTCAGTGGTATGAGGAAGGAGAAAAACCAACCAACTATTTCTGTCATCTCGAAAATAGAAATTATACCAGTAAGCTTATGAATAGAGTTATCAATGACAAAGGGGAAGTAATATCAGATGGTAAGGCTATATTAAATGAACAAAGACAATTTTATGAAAATCTATACTCATCAGGTGGTAAAATAACAGATAAATATATTAATATATTTAATGATATTATTACACCCAAACTGCACACTGTACAGGCTGAAAATCTTGAGGGTGATATTACTATAGATGAAATAACACGAGCCGTTAAATCAATGAAAAATAACAAAAGACCAGGAGTAGATGGTTTCCCAATAGAATTTTTTTAATTTTTCTGGAAAGATCTTCATATTTGGGTTTGTAGATATATATCAGAAACATTCAGGCAAAATATGCTAAGTCCAACAATAAACAGAGGCGTCATCACATGTATTCCAAAAGCTAACAAAATAGACAGTTGTTAAAAAACTGGCGCCCAATTTCCCTACTGAATTCTTTGTATAAAATACTCAGCACATGTATAGCCAATAGAATTAAAACAACATTGAATACTCTTATTCATGAAACTCAGACAGGTTTTATACCTGGAAGGTGTATTAGCGAGAACATTAGACTATTATACGACATTATGTTTGAAGCAAAAGTACTAGATAAAAAGGGACTCTTGTTACTTAGTGACTTTGAAAAGCTTTTGACACTGTCTCTAAATTTTTGTATAATGTTAACAATTGGAAAGTTTGGCTTTGGACCCAATATGGAAAAATGGATCAAAATATTAATCAATAATGCTACATCATGTGTTATACAGAATTGTCATTTATCACAATTTTTTTGACAATGAAAGGGGCTGTAGACAAAGGGACCCAGTTTCTCCCTATATATTCATCTTAGTGGCTGAAATTTTAGGAATAATGATCCGTAACAACACTGCAATAAAAGGAATTACATTGAATAACAATGAACATAAAAGATGATACTGAATTCTTTCTCGATGGGCGTGAAGAAAGTTTAAGGGCAGCAACTGACACTCTCAATAATTTCTACAAAATGTCTGGTTTAAGAATAAATATAGATAAAACGAAAGCAGTGTGGATAGGCTCAATGGCAGGTAATAGCATGATTTTATGCCAGGATCTTAATCTTGATTGGCATAATGGGGATTTTGATATTCTAGGAATAAGACTTAATCCTAATTTAAATAACCTTTGGGTAATTAATACAAGAAAAAGACTAGAAATTATTAATAGAACTCTAGGGAATTGGAGGAAAAGAAAGTTGACATTAATAGGAAAATAACTGTTATCAAATCTTTAGCACTTTCATCATTGGTGCATATATTCACTTCACTCCCAAATCCTCTAAAGGAATTCACTGACAAATTAAACAATATATTTTATAAATTCATCTGGAATGATACGCGGGATAAGATAAAGCGAACGACACTTATTAGAAAATATGAAGAGGGGGGACTCAGAATGTTTAATGTACAGGTATTCATAAACTCTTTAAAACTGTCAGTTTTACATAAATATCTTCAAAATAATAGCAGTTCTAGCCCTAGTATCTTTCCATTTAAAGATATATTTCTGCTTGGAGCCAATATTGAAAATTATGTCAGTATTATGAATCCCTATTGGAAAGATGTATTGGCTGCATGGGGAATATTCTATAAAACACATAAAACTGATTTTACAGATATTGATCAAATCTTATCCCAACCCCTTTGGTTCAATCACCAATTCCAAAATAGTAATTTCATTATAAGACATTGGCATCTCAAAGGTATTCACTCTATAAGAGACTTGTGTAATGATCAAGGAATTTTGCTATTTAGTGAACTTAAGAAAACTTACAAAATTAAAGGCACAATTCTTGACTATTATCAGGTTCTTTCAAATATACCCAAAAAATGGAAAGA